AAATATTACTTCCAGTTTCAGAGATGCTGTACAAATTTCTCATTACTAAAACAAAATTGAATTAACCACATTTGAATAACACTACTAAAATTAAAATTGAAAAATAATAAAAAATTTTAAAAATGAAATATTAAAACAAGCTAATAATTGAATTTTTTTTAACACACGGTTTAAAGCAGGTGTATAAAAGCCAGATCCTGAAAAACTTAAAAATTTTATTTTCCAAGTGCTTTTACAACTACTATAATATAGTTATGAAGGATTACCATTTTTAAGCTTTTGACTTCACTCACATTTCCGTTCTATATCTATAAATAGATATAATATAACATAAATGTGGTATATTTTCATTTCATAATTGATTTAAAATTACTTTTAATTATTTTAATTTATATTGTTTTTTTTTTTTGCAAAACCAAAATATCCTGTATATGAATTTTCCATATTTTCGACAAATGTACTTTAGTACATATGCAAGTGCATAAAACCATAATAGGTATGGTGCACCTATTGTTAGCAATTGTCCAAAAATTTTTTGAAAAAAGTGCTTATTAGTTTCCCCGTTAAAAGTTATACCCCCACCCAAAACCCTAAAAATGGCCTTTTCCAACTAGTTGTTGCAATGGAACCATAAGCATTTTTCAAATTTTGCAAACGTAGAAAGGCAGTGGCTTATTTCTCCTATCGTGGCATCTATAGTTAAATCTTAAAAAAACAAAAAGGCCCTTCAAATTTACCGTTATCTAAAATCTGTTTTTTTCCAAATTTTTGATGCCGCTTTTCTTTTAGACACCAGGTTGTAGGAGCCTGAAATTTTTAGAATTTAAAATTAAAAGCTGCTAAAATATTAGCAGCTTTTAAATACTATTAAAAAGTTTATTTCGTTAGAAGAACATTTTTTTCCATCTCCACCCCCTCTCAACTTATCGCCTCTTGAAATTTGTAAAATTTGAATTTTATTTTAAATTTCAAATTTTTATGAACACGAAAAGCTAACGGTAAATTTCATGACATTAAAAAATATAATTTTTTTTCTTAATTCACGCAATTAACCCTTAAAATCGAGCATAATGTGTTCTCTTTAAATTAATTTTTGCTTCATTTCAAAGACTGCATAAATCGTTCATCCTAAACGTATGCAATCCTAGAAATAGTTTCGTATATGAATGAAAATATTTTTAATAGTGTGGTAGATATACATAGACTGTATTTAAAAGCAGTATTATCACTAATTGTTTAAGAGAAAAGTGCTACAATACAATCCATTGGTTTGACCCAACTTTATGTTATCATCAGATCCCAACATTTCCAGCTTCAAGCGCATTGGCTAATTCCCAAAAAAAATAAATGTGGCTAGAAGACACGTCACGTTCGCGAGATCTCCTCCGTTTCTAGGCTTCCACCGCAACGCTTGACAGAGTCAACAGTGGACACAATTATAAATATTATATTTACTAAGGATAAATAGACTTGATTTTTAAGTCTGAAACTAGTTTTAGTTCAATAATATTGAGAAAATGGGTTTTTGTATAGGTTTTTTGTTTTTATTTTCATGCACAATTCCATGCATTTTTAGGTTCTCACGCTATTCTCGAAAAAATCTAATTATTTTAAAATTCTTAAAACAGATTCTTACAACAGAAAGAATTTAAAATTTTAGTAGCTGAATAAAAAAATTTTAGACAGCATAGAATGATCAAAATAGAGTTATCACTATATACCATAAAATCTTGAGTAATATAGTGATAACTTTAATATACTCGCAATCTGGTAACAATGGTAGATACAACAATAAATATGAATTAAAAACTTCTCTGTCTCGTTTCTTTTTTTTTATACAATTGATTTTCATTTATTCTATTGAGTTCCATTGAGTAAAAAAAATTGATACAAAAACATTGATGAAGACGAATTGAACAGCATTTAAATTTGGTACAACACATTTAATCAATTGCAAAACTTTAAAAATAAAGTAAAATAAGAAAAAAAACAAAATACACCATAGGCCTAGTTTTAAACTGAAAGTTTCAATTGATTGCTTAATAGGCATAAAAAAGCAATGTTTAAAATTCATGATTTCGACATACATATGCACCTTTTTGTTTTAGGGAAAAGTCAAACATATTTATTTCTAAAACTTGAATACTAAACAAAAAATCTGAGGTGATGGCCAGGAAATAACCGACCGCAATATATGTTGCCTAGTTTTGTAAAAGTACTACAGAAGATTATGAAAATGCATTTAGAACCCTTTCTTTCAATTTTATGAAAGTTGCTTAGCATGCATATGTACAAAGAAAATGTTCTCAGTACAATTTCGCTTTGTGCCACACAAATCGCCTGAAATGTTTACCAGTTAGTTTTGGTAACAGCCAGAACTCAAATATCAAATTTGAGTGATATGGTAGAAAATGTTAAATCATCCCCCCAATCGGTTTCCGAACGCTGATCTTTCCAGAAAAAATTATAGATTTCTAAATGAAATTTATAGATTCATTCTTTTAACATCCCGAATTTAAATATTAAATTTCCAAGAAAGTGGTTAATTATTCTCTCTTTGGACTTTTTATATACGCAAAAATGTAAAATTGGCTTGCAAAAACGTTCAGTTCCCGATGCCTAATATATCCAATTATCAAAATCGGTTCAGCTGACCACGATATACATAATTGCACACACAGACTAAAAGACCGACATGTCTCTAAAAATCATTTATTTACGCTTCCCTACTGTGGAAAAATGCGTTTCCACCGAAAACTCGACATTCAAAATTTGATGCCATCACATCATCTATCTTATTGTATACAATGCGGTTGGTAAAGATACAAAGCAACACAATAGTTTTTAATTGAAATTAACACTTGACCTTTGTAATTTCTTTTTAAATATAAAACGTATCATAAACTGGTACGATTATATCAAGGTTCTTACACCAATTATACGAAACAGGTACTCGTACAAGTTTTGAATAAAAATGTTTGATATAATTTAGGCAATATATTTTACACTTTAATATACACCTATATTTTACACTTTAATATACCCCTAATTTTGAATAGTTTCGATGTGAACAATTGAAAATATTTGATAATAGACTTTTGCTATTAGTTGTTATTTTGTCTTATTTTTTTGTCATGAAAATTTACTTAAGATATTCCTACAGTTATCCTCTACTAAGTTGCACTTTTCTTATAACATAGGAACAAAATCGGGTTGTATACTTTCAAGCTATAAGTTTTCAAAAACTGCTTTTTTATTATATAAATATATATACTAACTCAGTTTCCTAGTAAAATCTTCTTCTAAATTCTAAAAATAACTTTTATTTCTCTTAAATTCTAAAAATTTCTTATTATAAAGTTTGCAGATCTATACTCAACAATCGGTATTACTGACTACATAAAAAAATAATATAAATAATGTACATAAGTACAGTCAATTACATAACAAAGTTTTCCTGAAGTTACATTTCTAACGCCTCCCTTCCAACACTATTATGCATTTAAGCTTACTTAACCCTTTTTTATTTATCTATTCTATTACTCTCAGATGCAAACATTTTATGTCTAAGCAATATTAAAAGGCTATTACTCAATGTTTATATACGAAAAATCTATAAAATTCCAGCACATCAATTGTAATAGAAGCCGTAAATAGATAGAGCAGCTCTTTGGAGGATATAAATTAAAAGTTAATGGAAACTTATTGAAATTTACAAGTTTTTTTCATTGTTCTTGTATTTATATTGGAGCACATATTATCTAAATGAATCTATATATATATATATATATATATATATCTGTATTTTGTATATATATATATATATATATATATATACAAAATACAGACAAACTTAAATATTACTTAAATGGATTTCACATGTAATGTCTATACGTTTTTTGAATTAAAATGGGAAAAAGATGAATTCTTTAACATTTCAATGTGAACAAAGTATTAAATGCAATTTATCTAGTACTAACGTACTATCACTTTCAACTATATACATACAGAACAAATTTACTACTATTTGTCAAATTTTAACAAAACTCTTATTAAAGTTAAGAAAAATTTAAGAGAAATCCAATAGATAAATTGAATTGATTGTAAAGGATAAAATTCTCATTGTATTCAATTTTCTGAAAATACAAGAATAAATTAAAGGATTGAATTCGAGGATTTTGATTTTATAACTTTAAAGAATATTTTTCTGCCAAATCAAAAACAAATTTAGAAGATTTCAAAAAATTTGTATTTTGAGAAACAAATTGTATGTGCTTATAATACGTATTACGTAAATTGTTTAAAATACAGATAATAGCTTAGAATATGTTAGAAAGTATATTATGTATATGGAAAGTTTCTGATATTATACATATGTACGTAGTAGCGTATGTCAATGAATTAATAAAACGTTAAAGTTGAAGGGTATTATTTCATTAATTGCAAATTGAGTAATTTAGTTGCAAGGTTTGGTCGCAAATATACATACATATGTTAATGCATCATCGACTTTATAAAAAAATTAATATAGCAAATTTTTTATATGTTTTCTATACAATTTTAGAAAAAATTTGAAGTTCAGAATTTTTTGAATTGATAGTTGCAGTTATCAGCGATAATGGATTCTTATTGTTCATTAAAATTGTCTTTTATTACAAATTAGAATATAAAGTTATATTGTTCTGAACAGCATTTTGAATCAAAGTTTATTAATTAAATTTCAACTATAAAATTACAATTGTAACTAAAACAGCAGCCTTACACTAAAGCAAATTTAAAATCAAATTATTAAACCAAAAATATATATTAAACTTTTAATGCAATTGACACGTTTTTTGAATCTACTATGCTTAACTCCTTAATGAGTAAGAAATAACATTAGAAACAAAATCTTAACTCTAAGCAAAAGCCGTAAACAAATGTATCATTAGTATATTAAATTTATTATAAACTTAAAAGTGAGTCTGTTAGTTGAAAAATTTCTTTTTTTATCTTTACAGGACATCGAACATTGTTATTATCATGGAACTGTTAAAGATTATCCTGGTGCTAGTGCGGCGTTTCACACGTGTAATGGCGTTAGCGGTGTCATTCACGTGGGTAATGAAACATTCGTTATACATCCTTTTTATGGCGGTGATCTATCGGTAAGTGAAAATTTTGAAGTTTTCTAAAAAAATTTCGTATACTAAGCCAGCATTATATTTTTACTTTATTTCTATGCTATTTTAGCAGATTTATTTGTAATTGTTGTAAATAACAAAATACGTAATGCATATATACGTATGTGTGTAAAAATGTAGCACAACATCGTATAAATTATACGTGAAAATATTTCAAAAAATGTCATATCTATACTCGTACCTATACATATACATACATATAGAAATTATTAATTTTTCTTGTCTAATATTATATTGATTTAGTGGCGCCATGCAATGATAATTGTGTTACCATGAATGCTGTCACTCTTTAATGTAATGATGTAATATTTAAAAAAAATAACAGTTAAAATTTAAAGTGTCTGGAAATTTTTATTTTGAAAAACAATAACGTAGTAAAATAATAAATATTGTGGCCCAAATAATTATCCTGGCTTGTAAGGAAGTACATTTCAATTTACTAATTTTTGACTTTGATCAAAACGTATATGGCACACAACTTTAGAGCTAAAAAAAATATGTGGTTTTCCATAATATGTTGCACTCTTAAATACCGGTGTACGAAAATATAATTCAATAATATTCCGGGTACAATTATTTTAAATAAAGTTGGGTCAAACCAATGGTTTGTATTGTAGCACTTTTCCCTTCAACAAGTGAAAATTCTGCTTTTAAATACAGTCTATGTATACCTATCACACTATTAAAATTATTTTCATTCATATACAAAACTATTTCTAGGATTGCATATATTTAGGATAAACGATTTATGATCTTTGAACGATCTTTTAACTAAAGCAAAAATTAATATAAAGTGGGCTTAACATAATGCTCGATTTTAAGGGTTATTCGTGTGAATTAAGAAAAATAATTATATTTTTTAATGTCATGGAATTTACCGTTAGCTTTCTTCTAAGTATTAAAAAAAAATTTTCTTCTAACTATTTGTTAATGTCTAAAAGCCCCTAAAATTTCAAGTTTCTACAGGCTGGGATTTAGAAGAAAAACGAAATCAAAAATTTGGAAAAAAAGACTTAAGATAACGGTAAATTTGAACGGCCATTTTGTTTTTCTAAAGTTTAACTCTAGTACACCGCGCTAGGGAAAGCAAGCCGCTGCCTTTCTGCATTTGCAAAATTTCAAAAATGCTTATGGTTTCATTGCAACAAATGGTTAAAAAAGGCCATTTTTAGGGTTTTAGGTGGGGGGTATAACTTCTAGAGAGGGGGAGATAGGTAAAAGTTTTGTTCTACGGAAATAAGTTTCTAGTAAAGATCTATGTATACACAAAATTTCAGGTTTCTATCTTCAAGGGTGTAGAAGTTTTGTAAACAGTAACATGGCAGACGGACGGAGGGACGGACGGACTTTTTATCAAAAATTTTTTGAAAAAGTGCTAAAAATGAAGAAATGAGAATTTTTTGAATTATTTTGCCTTAACATTACCTTAATCTTCAGAAAACAGCTGTTTTCTGATAAGAGAAAAGCCATTATAAAATGAATAGCGAAAGAGAAGAGTCAAACCGATAAGACCACATTTAAAAATTTGTTTTGTCGCTGATGTTTTAGTAAAAGTTGGGCAAAATAATAATATTTTTGCGCCAACAGCGCAATCGTACATGTTAATAAAAAATATTCTCATACATCATTTATGATAGTTTAATTTTGAACTTAATAACTTATGTATAAAAAATCCATTAATATATTCAACTTTAATATGTGCTATGTAACATTTGTGGCATACCATGTAAAATTATGAATCTTTTATTTACTTTACTGAAGTTGGAGCAGATTAAATTATGAAACAAAATTTTTTTTTACCGTAAGAAATTAAAAAAAAAATTATTAGAATATTGAAATAATCAATTTAACTTGTGAATTTTTATTGAGTGTAAAGCGTTTGACTAAAATAGTAAAAAAAATTATAATCAATGGATTATTAAAATACTCTGAAATTTGTCTTTACTCATATAGACTTCGCAGACATCTCATAAAAATAGCTGTAAACATCAAGAAAATTAACATATATTCTTTATTTATTCTGTAGCCTATGATCTTGAAAGTAGTTGAACTGCACTTACATATATTGTTTTAATATTAAATTAAAGTAAGTTTTCATTTAAAGGCGTCATGTAAAACTATTACATATATTTTTTAATATTTTTTTTCCTTCTTCGCTCTTAATATTAAGGTTGTTTTATTAATGTTTTATTGTTTATTTTTCCTAGTTTTTTTTAATATCGAATATTATGAATATATAAAAATTACTTGTATACTAATCTTTTTAATTTTATAAGTATTGTATATCAAGTTATAATATTGAATATAATTTTTATAGTGACCTAACCGGGTTTTGAATTCGAGATACTGCGCTTAAAGGTCCGGTGACATAAGCACTGCACCTACTTTATTTTGTTTTTTTAATGTCTATATAATTTTTTAATATTGATCGAACGAATTTTAATTCAAAAATAATTTATAGTTATAAAAAATACAAATTTAACTGGAAAATTTTAACTATAACTTTTATTAAATTGGAGTACTCCTTATTCTACTTAGAAAATAAATGTGACAGATAAATTTAAAATTACTAACGGTTTAAAAATAGCTGCTGGAAGAGTTTGTGGAAAATATAAATGTTTATTAACTATCATGACATACAAAATGACAAATCCAAAACATGTCGATATCAGTTCACAGAGTCGGAAATTTTCTTCAATACATAATTCAATAAATGAAGTTATCAAATAATTTCATTAAATTGACAAACAATGTGTCAATAAAAGTGATAAGTTTAGGAAATCCTTTATGTATGTATATTCATTTATGTACGTTCCGTTGATTGAGTTCTATTTCGTTGGCGTAGTTTTGTATATTTAAATTTTAAATCTCAGACATTTACCAAAACCAATTCAATTGCAGAGCTGTTTTAATGTTGTTAAACTGTTTTAAACAATCCCCTAAAAACATACATTAGAAACGCCATGAAAAAAATTTTGCAATGCAAACAAATTGGTTAGTGCCAAATATAATAATTTGTTAAATATAATATATTAAAACGATATTTTTGATTTTGTTCAGTTGCAAGAAGAGTCAAAATATTCTTCGATTTTACTTCAAATTTCATTTTAATTATCATCATTTACGATAATTAAAACGAGAAAAAATAGAGTTAACCGAGTCAACTCTGTGATACCCGTACGAATTTTCTATCATATGTAGGAATAAATATGTCATAGCTTACAATGACTTTTAGTTGCCATATTACCATATTAATTATACAAAATTTTAGTACTGTGTTTTTAATATTTTCCAAGATATGCCCAAACTACTATTGAACTTGTATAGTAGGTACCAGAAAAAGCCAAGCAATTTCAACGACTTTTATGAACCATATTAACCCTACTAATGTATTTGATTGTGTGATATTTAAATATCATAGCTTTTAAAGTTCCTGAAATATAGTCAAATAAATTTTGAAGTTGTATGGCAGCTACCCGAACCAATACCCCGATCATATCCAATTTTTTAAAAATTTGGTGAATTTAGCCCAATTAGTTTTTGAGTTATCGTGGGACGAACGGGTGGACATAAGGACGGGCGGACAGAGAGACGGACAGACAAAGCTAAATCGACTCAGAATTCGAAGCTGATCAAAAACATACACTTGAGTCTATATCTCAGACCATTATTTCTTAGCGTTACAAGGTACTTGTAACGCTGTACTAAATTTGCTTTAGGTAAGGCAAAATTTAGTACACCCTTCGAACATATGCTTTCGTACAGGTATAATTATGTATATACATAAAATATAATACAACTCTATAAAAGTCTAATAATATAAGAGAAAAATTGTATTCATATGCTGGTGTAAGAGTTTGAAAATAAGAAATTTTTACGAGATTGAATATTTTACCAGATCAATCTAATTGTAATTTCACTCTTATAATTTATAATTTCGGCGTTTTTTGAATGAAACTCATTTAAATCGAAATTTTCACTTTAAAACTTTATGCGAGTGTACAAGTACATTTAAAAATTCATAAATTAAACGTATTTTGTTTTTTTATCAAAAAGGTAAAACAATTTTAATAAAATATTTTCTAAAAACAAAAAAAGGAAAGTGCCAAATTCAAACAATAAATCTTGAGAAAACTTTTAACTAAGTGTCCCATGTGTCTATAACATTATAGCATTTTTCTTAATGGATTTTGCCTTCGCAGAAATCACAGTTTACAATAAATTTTCTGAAAGAAAAATAAAACAATATTTTGATTAAAATTGTAGAAGTAAAAATTGAAAACAACAAGAGAGAAAATTTACAAAAACAATTTTTAAATTCATTTTTTAAAACATCGAAACTGCTACAAACAATCATTTTTTATTCTCGTGAGAAAAGAGAAACAAAAACCAAAAAATTACAAAGGCAGAAAAGGATTTGTTATTTGTTCTCAAACGACCATAAATACAATATTTAAGGTTATCCTTGATAAGCTTTCAGCGATTATTGATTGAATTATGATGATATGAAAATTACAAATATAAATAGAATTTGCTGATAAATTTGGTCATTTGAAAGTATTTTAAAAATGAACGTCTTCAGTTTAACTTTTAGCCAGACTATAAGGTCGAAAATTTATTTATATAGTAAAATTCCTTTTAAATTTTCCTTGAAAAAAAGATATTTTCTATCTGTCGATTTACTCAGAAGGTTATGAGAAACATAATTTCTAAATTCACATATAATATGTATATAAACTTTATTGAACTATGAAGTCTAAATGTGGCAAAGAAGTTTTATCAATGTTCTTTTGTTTATTATTCTTAAAAATGATGGTCATATCAACCTAGAAAAGTTTCACTTTATGCCACCTGAATTCGCTGAAAAGTTTATCAGTAACTTTCGGTAGCAAACTAATTTTGTTAGTTAGTTCCTTAGATATGTCAAAAAATGTAAAATGGAACCCTACTCTAGTTTTAGAGTC